GGAGTTGGAACAAAGATGTAGTGCCCTGAGGTGACAATGAGGACAACACTCATGGGCAAACACCAGTTCCGACACATTTGTTTAATATCTAGTCATGTTAATTATAAATATCCCATACTAAGGAAGAGTAAGAAAGTTTAAAAAGAGTTCCCAATCTTTCTTTTTATGAATGGATCTTTCTTTTATGTTAAGCCCAGGAACAAGCAAAAGCTTATCTTTCAACTGTGAAAACAGATATTCTTCATTAAGACCCAGGTTACTAGTTCTCTACTAGTCCTACTGTGAAAAGACCAATGATGGTCGATTTCACTTTTAATGTCTTAAGTATACGTCAGTGGAAGCCTGTTTCTCCCTATCAAAACAGCCTCGGTGGTGAGGCCTACCATTCCAGCAGGAGGGCTTCTCACAGCAGGTAAATGAGCCAGCTCTCAGTCACTAGCTCTGCCTAAAGATATGTCTGCAAAGCATGCGTGAACCTGGTGATGCCCTTCCCCCTGCGCTGCTGAACACTGCTGCTTTGCTCCACCCTCTGCTCTCATCACTAAATCTGTTATATCTGAGTGGCTATAAGTAAGGTGCTATGTGGACAACGTGACTCTAGCCCTTCGTCCAAAGACCCCATGTTGGATCCTGAGCCCAAGGTGATGACACGTGGCCATAGTTCCTGTGGTTCTTTCTCACTGCCTTGTCATGACTCTCCTCCTGAATCTACTCATTCCCAATCACTGAATCAAATATTTTCGATTCAAGATGTCTAGGCTAGCTAGTAGAGTGAGTAAACAGATGAATGAGAAGTAAAACAAATGAAGAAAAACATGAAGACACTAACTTAAAAATCATAACACTATCTGAGTTAAGGTATTGTAAACAAACATGGTCTTCCTGTTACTTTCTGAGAAGAGTTGAGGTCCTTGGCAAATTCCTGGGAAGGACGCCATCCTACCCACTCTCCATCATCTTTTCTTTCTATCCCAAGAGAAGCAAACGATAACTGCTCAAATTTCTACCTTTTCCGTAATAATCTTTGGAATTCTCCCATCTAAGTTATTTTAATAACTCACTGCCCACCATTTAGAAAATTCAAAAGAGCTGTAGCTATTCAGGAAAGGGTCAGTAAGACACATAGCAGGAACACACTTGGCCAGTTTATTTCACCCACATAAACCTAATCATAGTACTGGAAAATAAAACCATATCGCAGTTAAGAGCATAGAGTATGGAAGGCAGACACATAATATTCTGAACTCCACACTATACTCCTTACTAGCTTTATAATCCAAAAGAAATTACTTAACCTTTCTAAGTCTCAATTTCTTTATCTAGAAAAATGGTGTTAAATATACAAGATACCTCTTATGTTGCTAATGAGAACAAAATGAACAAATATGGAAACAGCTTAGCACAGACTGATGTATAATAAACATTAAATAACCATCAGTTACTTATGCTATTATTGTCAGTCATAAGATCTTACGTTCAAGTCTTAGGCACTCTTCAAAGGCTCTCTCTCTCCCCTTTTTATTAGCTGTTAGACTAAAAATGAGCATAACTATCTGGGAATTTCAGTAAGTGCTTTTCTGAAAAGCTAAAATTTAATAATAAGCAGACAGACTGAAAAGCTGCTGTGGAAACTCGCAAGGTTTCATTAAAACACACACACAGAACGACAAGACCGTCTCTAGTTCTAGCAATGTTACTCAGTCTCCTCAAATGCAAAAAATGGATGGGAGGGAGCGCATTAGACCATGTCCAAGGTCCTTTTAGCACTAAGTCTGTGATTTACAAGATGTTCCCACTTTTATCATTTATTTTCAACAAGTCCCATCTTTTCCAAATGTAAAATGAAAACGACAGCAATTCTCATCCCAATTACCTCCAAACGTTGTAAGAAATAAGTGCTGCTAAAGTAGTTTTAAATTGTAGAGCAATATACTGTATAAGATTTTATTAAGATATTTTTAAACGGCTTCAGATAAACCTTGGGCCAAATGACGTCTGTTGAAAAAAGTCACGTAGTGTAAAAAGTTGATTATTATAAGCTCAGCCCGTGAGGAAAGTATTATAAAGATGGAAGACTGGTTCTGTTGGTTTGTTTGCTAAAATAAGTTACTTCATATAGTTTTTAAGGGTTATAATTTACATTATCTTTATTAAAAAGTTAATTGAAATGTCAAAAAAATATTCTTCAAGCCATATATACGACAAAAGTAACAGCAGTTAGAAAGCATCTTATGGCAACATACAAATTTTTCGATAGGTGTTCAAATACTAGTTGAGCTGACAAGAGAATGAATACTAATAGCTCACCTTATCTTGTAAGGAAAAGGTCCCAGGAAAGCCAGCAAAGAGAAACTTGTTCTTGACTTTCAACTTCCCCAAGTTTGCGACAATCAGATTATTCGATCTGGAACTTTCTGGGACAAGGAGAACAGGAGCACCAGCCTCAATATCCAGGAGAACCCGTGAGCAGCGCTGGGCTTGATCTCTCACCTGGAAAAGGAAAGAAAAATGACTCGGAGGCTCAATTAATTTCCTAATTTTACAATCAAACAACCTCAGGTTCCCAAAAGTTTCATGACATTATAAATCTAAAACAACTAAAATCACACCGAGTATAGTCTATGACCACCATGGAGTTAAATTAAAAATCAGTAACAAGAAGATAACAGAAATCCTCAATATTTGGAAATTAGATTATTCACTTCTAAATAACCATGGGTCAAAGAAGAAATCACAAGGGAAACAGAAAACTATTTTTACCTTAGTGATTAAAAAAAAAAAAAAGCATATTGAAATTCACAGGATGAACTTAAAACAGTAGAGACAAATGTTTAGCATTAAATGTTTATAAAGATTTAAAATCAATAATCACGGCTTCCATCTTAAGAAGCTATAAAAGGGAAAAGCAAAATAAACTTAAGTAGAAGGAAGAAAATAATAAAGAACGGAAACCACTTATTTAGAAAACAGAGAAAAACCAATTAAACACAGAACAATACCCAACAACCACTTTCCAAGTGCTAACCATAATATAGGCCTCATTAATTTGTTTTTTGAAAAGACTGATGAAAATTGATAAACCTCTACCCATACGTTTCAAAAAAAAAGGAAGGAAACAAAAAATGCCACTATCAAGGAGTGGGGGACGTTGCTACAGAACCTACAAATATTAAAAAGATAAGGGAAACTATGAATGATTTCACGCCAACAAACTGACAATTTAGGTAAAGTAGACAGACTCCTTAAAAACACACACTCAGGCCAGCCAAGTGGCACACTGGTTAGGAGTTGGCTTGGGACGCCAGCTCTGAGCAGCAGGGCCCCGGTTCGGATCCCACATGGGCCAATAATGCTGCGCCCTCTACAGCTAAGGTGGTGAACAACACCTCAACCTGGAGCTGGGTTGCCGTGAGTCGCCGGCATCGCCGTAGGCTGCAGCCCCTGCTGCAGTAGGCTGCCGTGAGCTACCGTGAGTGGCTGGCAGCCAGTGTGAGCTGCCATGAACTGCCGTGAGCTGCTGTGAGCAGCTGTCCAATGGCCAGCAAGCGACTGCCTCACCCAGGAAGAGTGCAATGATGGTACCAACATGGGCCAGTGAAGTGACGACCTCCACAACTAGAGTGAAGAACAAAAGGACAGCAACTTGTCTGTTTCCCTTCCCCGATTCTCCAATGCTGTTCCCCTCCCCCAACCCCCCAATAAAAATCTTAAAAAAAAAACAAAAAACAACACACTCATACAAACTCTCTATAGCTAAGATCATACTGGATGCTGAAAGATAGAATGTTTTCCCCCTAAGATAAGGAACAAGGCAAGGATATCCACTCTCACCACTTCTTTGCAACATTGTAATGAAAGTCCTAGTCAAAAAGTGCAGGCTGGAAAGGAAAAAATAAAACTCTCTTATTCTCAGACAACATAATCATCTTTGTGGAAACCAGTACAGAATCTAAAGGAACTAGAATAAGGAAGTTTATCGAGATTGCAGGACACAAGGGCGATATATGAGGTATAATAAACAAATACGGTGAGTGTTTAAATTTAAAAAACTTATTACAGTAAAAGACACACTGCCATTAATCCCCCTCAAAATATTACCCCTCGTTTCAAACACGCTTATCCCATCATTCTTGCCACTTTCTGAAGCGGTTCTGGAAGTCCTCTTTCGTGAGTGTCTTTAGTTGCACTGTCGTGGCTGCCTTGATGTCCTGAGTCATTTTGAGTTTGGGGAAGAGCTAGAAGTCGCATGGCACCAGATCCGGTGAATAAGGTGGATGAGGACACACCATAATGTTTTTATTTGACAGAAATTGCCATATACCAGAAGCAATGTGTGACACAGAACATTGTCATGATGGAGGATGATTTATGGCACACTTTAAAAGCACACCTTCTCTCAACCATAGCTCACACCCAACTGACGCCACAGAACAAGTTGAAATTTGTCACACAGTTACTAAGGTTCAAGGCGCCGACTTCCTGTATTCAAGATCCCTGCCTTTCCATTGGATGGCACTTGGCAGCAGCATTCACCTAATTTTTTGATCAGTACCTCGTACAAGTCAATTCTATTTCTTACACTCTTAATAAACAATTGGTCACTGCAATTTTTTTATAAATTCATTTCATTTATAATAGCATCCAAAATTGGAAATACGCAGGGATAAATTTAACAAAATATGTGTTAAGACCATCTAATGACAAAATACTGCTGAGAAATTGAAGACTTAATTAAATAGAAGGATATACCACACTCAAAGACCATGTCAGGGTTATTTATTCTCCTCACCTCCAAGCGCCATCCCATGCCTCACTAGAGTTCAGCAACGGCTGGATTCCTATAGCATTGTTTAACCCCGTTGCCCTTTCAAGACTAGCGTTGGTGACAATTTTCCTCATATACAGATTCAACGCAATTTCAATCAAAATCCTAACTGACTTTCTTGTAGAATAGACAAGCTGATTCTAAAATTTATAAGGAAAAACAGAGGACCTACAATAACCAAAACATTCGAAAATAAAGAACGAAGCTGGAGAACTTCCACTACCTGATTTCAAGACACACCACAAAACAACAGTACACAAGACAAGGTGGTACTGTCATACACTTAAATATAAATCAATGCAACAGAATAGAGAAGAAATACACACATAAATATATAGTTAACTGATTCTCAACAGAAGTGCCAAGATAATTCAATGGGAAAAGAATAGTCTGGGTATGTATATGGGAAAAAAATCTCAGCCCTTACTTCACAAAATACACAAAAATCAACTCAAAATGGAACAGAGCTAAAATTATAAAACTTCTTAAAGAGGATATAGAAGAAAATTTTCGCCACCTTGTGGTAGGCAGAGATTTCTTTGATAAAACACAAATAACACCATAAAAGAAGAAAATTTTACTTCATCAAAATGAAAAACTTCTACTTTTTAAAAAATAGTGTGAAAACTTAGATGAGCCAAAAAAATAAAAAATAAAAACAAAACAACAACAAAAAATCAGATGAGCCACTGCCTAATCATAATGAATTATCTTTTTTCATATTTCTATCTTCAAGCTCCATGAGGGGAACGACCTTGTCTTTCTTCTTTGCCATTATGTTGCTAGCACCTGGCAGTCTATGACACATCCTTCCACAATAAACGTTCACTAAATAATTGAAGAAATGAAAAAACAAGGTTGTGATAAGATCAAATGAGAGAATATATGTGAAAGCGCTTTGAAAACTACAAAGCACCATTAACATAAATAAATAATTATTAACCAATGTACAGCATACTTATTTTTGCTATCTCCATTTTCCTTCTACAAGTAAGTCAACAGAAGAACAGCAAAAACAGTAACTCGCCGCTGGTCACACAGCTTATAGCGGCAACACCCAGGCTGCAGGTTCTTGTCCCAGGATTTCTAAATTGCATGTCAAAAATCTGTACTCTGGTTCCTCAGTGAATAAGGAAATTCAATACAAGAGACATCACATAAGGTAGAAGACACAGGAAAATGATGTCATACTTCTGGGGTAAAAATAAAGGAAACAATTTATATTTGGCACAATCGAATTAGGTATCTGATGCTCTAATTTCAAACATCAAGATTAAAAAGAAATTTAAAGTCCCACTGGATCATTATTTATAGACACTAGAAAATATAGGAATAAAAATCCAGCTAAAGTCAAAGGCAGATAATACCACCTATTACCAGTACAATAATAGGAGAAAGGAATTCAAGTATCAAACAAAATAGCCTCTTAATCTTATCAGCAAGCAAAATAGGTTTCTTTAGCTCTTTCTGTGAATCGAACAGCGAGGACTCAAACAGCTAGGATTAAAGATCCTTGAGAAAATCAGGTTTTCTTCAAAGCCCACACATTTAGCACTAATCAAAATAGGGAAACATGCCTTTAACCTTCTGTTTGTTTTATATAATTTGATAAAGCAAAGCTTAATTATCTATTTAATTTCTGCTTCCCCCAGGAAGTTAAACCCAATTACTCAGTAATGCACAGTGTCTCATTTCCCAACCCAAATGATTGGTTCCCCACACTAACACTATTGTTTAAACCACACATGTAAAAATAATTGTTTTAAATGTACATAATTCTAACAGACAACATTCAGTAAAGTTGTACTGGGAGTCACAAAAATGTACATGGCTTTATAGGACTAAATCCTATAAAACAATGCCACTTACGGTATTCAATACCATGTATAGGATTCCTTCCTATTAAAATTACTTGAAAAATAAACTATGTGCACAAAGATATTCATGGAAGTATTACTCAGAGGAATGAAAAACTGGAAGCAATTCAAATGTTAAAAAATAAGGAAATGGTTAAGTAAACTGACGTGATGGAATATACAATCATTAAATAGGATAGCTATGAAAAATGCAAAGCAAGATGAAAAAGATTATGAAAAAGGGTTATGAGAAGCTGGATTCCAAAAGTGTATGCATAAACTTAACACATTTTATGTATTTTATTGTGGGTACTATATGCTTTTCCTCAATTGAAAAGGTTTTTAAAAAGCATATGTAGACCATAAATATAATACCATTTTATACTCAGTAATTGGCCCCAAATAAAAAGGTTGACAATGCAAGTGTTGGTGGCAAGGATATGAATTACAGGGAATTGTTATACACTGCTGATGGGTGTGTGTGATGGAGGCAGCCATTTTAAAAAACAATTATCTTGTAAAAAGAAATATGCGATTAGCCTATGGCCCAGTAATTCCACTCCTGAGTATCTCAGAAACACTCTTACACTTGTGCATCAGTAGACATACTACACAATAGCAAGACGCTGTACACAATCCCAGGGTCCAACAGGAGAATGGATAAATCATGTGTGTTACACCAATAAAATACAACAGTGAAAGTAAATGAGATGCAATCACATATAACAACCTGAATGACTCTCAACACACTAAGGGACCAAAAAAAAGCAAGTCATAGAACATTAAGCACAGTTTAATACCATTCTGTAAAGATCAAAACAAGCAAAATAAGACATTGCATGGGAGCTTTCTTTCTTTTTTTTTAATTTTAAAGCTACTGGTAGACCCAAAAGCAGGACAATGGTTACCTAAGGCATTGACAGGGGAATGGGGGATACATGCAGCAGTCTTAATAATGTTTTAATTTTTATTTTGGTGCTGGGTTCATGGATGTTCATTTTATTATCATACTTTGTAACTTGTATATATGCTACAGATATTTTTATATCTGTCAAAAACTTTTTTTTTTTAAACTTTCTAAGGAGAGAAAAAAAGTTACATACTCCATGATTATAACCATGGAAACATGTATACGGCGAAAATGAAAATAAATAAAAACATACCTATCATGCCATGAGACTGGAAAACTGATTCTTTTTTCTAAATTCCCTATAATTTCTTTATGCTACTTCGAAACTTTTTAAAAATACATTCTCTGGAAGACACACAGGAAACCGGTGACACTGGCTGCTTCCAGGAGAGAAACTGGGCAGTTAAGAAAAAGTGACTGAGAAGATGGCTTTTCTCCAAATGTCCTTTTTTACTTTGATGCTGTACCAAGTCAATATATAACATATTCAAAAATTTTCAATTTAAATTAAAACAAAATTTTTAAATGTTGCCCCTATAAAGACAGCATCTATTTCTTAAATTATAATATTTTAACTAATAATTTAAAAATAAATAAAAACAAGTTTTACAAAGAGCTTTATTATAATCATTTTCTGCAGTTCCCAAACTGTGTGCCGAGGTATCACAGGACACCGCCACACACTCACAGTACACATGTTGCCAAGCCACTTTAATTTTTTAAGGAAACACATCATCTGTCAGACACTGCACGAACTATTAGCTTGAGGTAGTTCACATTCAATGTCAAATCATGTGACATTCCTTTCAGACAGGTCTCATCTTTGCAAAACTATTGTCGGAAAAGTCATGACGCATTTTTGCAATAAAAAACAGAAAAAATATGTCATGACTTTTCCAACAACCCAATAGGTCTTAAGCAGTTGATGTGACAAAAAGCAAGAACCATGAGAAAATAAACGCGGAACATGAAATGAGGGTTGTGATGTCCAATCTGGTTCCAAGTTCCAGTAATTGTACAAAGCCCAAGAGTACATGCATCCAACTAGTAAGTAATTGTGGTTATTTAAGAATGAAGTAAAAATATTACTCTTTCCTTTATGTCTGATTACTTTTCAAACAGCTACTAAATTGTTTGGACACAAGTACTTATTAAATTGTTTATTCTTAATTACTTTGTAAATGGAAAGGCCATTAGGTGTTTCTTTTGACCTAGGATGTGTCATGGAAAAACTTCTAAGACGTTACGGGAGCAATGAACTAAGAATTGGGAACGTCTAACCTATTCGAAGAAACCCTCTTTATATATGTTCTTCGGGACCCCTTTCAAAGAGAAGAATCCTCACTAAAGTCCTAGAAGGGCCAAAAGTCTTTAGTGTTATCCATAAATTTCTTTTATCTTTTTTTAGAGAAAGGTAAAGCTAAACTTTAAAGGTGATTAGAACACGATACAGCGAATAAGGAATATAAGCTCTCCAATTACAGTAAGAGTTCTATAGAAAAGCAGTTACATGGAGGACATTAGTAAGCATAAAATTACCGAATTTTACTTCATTCAGTGAAATTTTCCAGATTTATCTCTAGAGGCTTAAAAGTTCTATGGATCAAGCTGAAAAGGCAACTTGGAGAAGTAAGAGAACCTACCGTCTGGCCCTCAATCGCAGCTCGCTGGCGCCCTAAGACATCTTGCAGCTGAGTGAAGTGCTGGATGAAGGCCACGACCTCGGCCTGGAAGCGCTGGGTGTGCACATACTGCACGGAGGCCATCTGAAGGCTCACTCGGATGTCGTGTTCTCTCCGGAGAAGAGGGTCGGGCCGGCCGTATCTAGGCACAAGGGCAAAAATGTGACTGACAGCAGCAAGGTGCAAGTTGGTATTTGAAGAACACTTGCATTGATTTAGGGTTTTCCCTAGAAAACAGCCTTAGCTATCCACATGGAAAACCACATCAAGTTTTACAAAGCAAACTCCAATAATCCCTCCCTTTCTAAGCTTCAGCAATGTGATCAGGATGTTAAATGCAAGTCTGATGACAGCCGGGGCTATGAACAGGTAGGCAGCTCGAGGCACTAAGGTCACCTGATTCCAGAGCTCACTCAGAAGCCAGTGTGGTTCAGACCTTTCACCTGGGCCTCTTATTCCCTGCCTTTAAGGAGAAGGGATTATTCCTGCTCATCCTGTCCTAGCAAAGACTGTGACTATATGAACTTGAAAGATAATAAAAATATTTATTATGCCATGAAACAATGGGTAAAGCAAGTTAGGCCACAGAACCAGTGTTTCTGGGGAAAACTACCTTCTGAAGGCAGAAAGAAATCTTCTTTTAACTTCAGTGAAATGCTGGCCAAAGAGGCTTAGCATCTATCGATCTTCCAAGACAAATTAGAAAACTTTTACGAATGGCATTCAGTTTAACGGAGCATGGTGCCATAATAATAGATTATCATAAAGGACATAGTCAACTGGGGAAAGGAACTCACATTTGCTAAGCACCTATTTTGTGCCAGGCAGAGAGTTAAGGGTTTTATATTAATTATCTCGTGTATCACAGAACCATGCCACTGTGGTCGGTAATAATAAAAATATAGCAATCTAAATTCGCAGTAGAGTATGATATCCTCTTCCTGAAAATGAAAGAAAAAGTTCTCAGACATCTTTAGAAATAGTTTTTCTCAATTCTGTTTGAACATAAGAATTGCTTTGGCAAGTTAAAAAAATAAGTTAAATTCAAAAAGAAAAAGGGGCGGCCGGGTGGCTCAGTTGGTTAGAGCACATGCTCTGAACAAGGTTGCTGGTTCGATTCCCACATGGGCCAGTGAGCTGCACCCTCTGCAACTAGACTGAAGACAACAACTTGAGCTGAGCTGCCGGTGGACGGCAGGATTGCTCAGTTGGTTAGAGCGCGTGCTCTTACCAACAAGGCTGCCAATTCGATTCCTGCATGGGATGGTGGGCTGCGCCCCCAGCAACTAGATTGAAAATGGCAACTGGACTTGGGAGTTGAGCTGCACCCTACAGAACTAGATTGAAACAACTACTTGACTTGGAGTTGATGGGTCCTGAAAAAAACACTGTTCCCCAATAAAATTTCTTTAAAAAAAAAAAAAAGACAAAGGACAAGAACAGATCAGAATATTTGGGGGCAGAGCCAGATATCTATATTTTCTAGCAGCTCCCCCAAAGGTTGAGAAGCCTCCATTTTAAACTTTTTGCCTTCTGAGAAAACCATTCTGTTATAACTACATAGGCCTAAAGATGCCTTCTGAATTCTAAAACTGAAGAGATTCAATACAGATTATGTTTATACAGAAAAAATGCATAATGTAATTTAACACCCATATCTTCAACAGCTTTCTCAGGCTGAGATCATTCCAGAATGTTTAGAGCTTCATGGAAACTGATCCAACTTAGTCCCTTCAATATTTAGATTTAAAAACTGATGCATGGAAACGAAGTGAGTTGCCTGAGGTCACATAACAAGCTAGTTTGAAACCAGAATGAAAGCCCAGGCTTTTTAATAATCAGCATTATTTCAATCATACCCCATCTGTTTATGAAACCCGAGCAGCCCACTTCAACACAGATCCATTTTAATATAAATCAGGATTCCTCACAACTAGATCATATCAAATTTATGTTAGAAGGTAAACATTTTTTAAACTGTTCTTCATTGTTTAGGCAACAAGAATTTGAAACAGCATGCAATTATGACAAAATGGCGAGTGAGAAAAAAGCGATGTTTTTACTTAAAAGTCTGGAAGATGAGTGCTTCCTCCCCACTGGTCGTGAACCGCTCTCTGTAAAACTCTCCGTGGGCTGTAAGGTCACTGAGAGACAGGCTCCCCAGGCTTCCTTGTAAGGACAGGTCTCCCTCTAGGGATGTTAAAAGTAGAACGCATTACGTATCTTTTTTTGTCATACACCTTAAATATGTCTGGAACAAAAACTGATAGACACATGCCTCAAACTTTTCATCATTTCATCAAACTACATGTCAAAAGCCAATTTTCATATTCCAGTGCTCCCAGAAAAAATATTTTATGCAATCTTTCGAGTAGTCTCAGTGCAGAAGTCCAAAGGGGACTGAAATAACACAGCAACATCACACTTTAACATTTATAAGGGGAAAGAAATTAAAACACACACTTTTAAGGATAACACATTTACAAATACAGAGAGAAACGTGATTCCTCTGTGATTAGATCACTAACTAGAACTAGTGAAATATCTAAGGTCTATTCATTGTACTGTGGATAGAAGAATAAAAAAGGAAGTATCAGAGGTACGGCTGGTGTTCAAGCCACCTTAAGTGGTTTTGGTGTGGTTTAATTAAAAAACAAAATTAATGAGATAGGCAGACACTGGAGACTGATTTGAAACTAATGCAATATATCACAGGCGTGAAGCCCCTGGATGGTGGTAGAACAAAGGGCTGTTGAACCATGTACACCTGAGATGCGAAGTTACCATGAATCATTCTTAACGTGGGGTGGATATTAAAAAGGGGTGTGCAGGCCGGCCGAGTGGCGCATTAGTTAAGAGCTGGCTTGGGACGCCAGAGGGCCCTGGTTCGGATCCCACATATGAGGGCCAGTGACACTGCCCTCCACAGCTAAGATGCTGAACAACAGCTNGAAAAATCTATAAATTAAGAATAAAAAAATCAGATCTATTTAACCAAATTAAGTAATACTCTCACAGAATCCACTCATTGAAAAATCCCTATGCATGACCACTCACCCAATTTCAAAGGGGGCCACTTAAAAAAAACAAAATTTCCAAATATGGCAATCAATGAAAAAAGTTGAAAACACACCAACCTAATGTGAAACCATCTATTAAAATTCCATTATGATGTCTTAAATATTACTGGGCATAATTCAAAAAGAAAAGGTTTTTCTTGTTGATTTAAGCAAAGTATACATGAGTTGGGTTTGGAATCTTAAAACAAAATAAGACATGATTGGCGCTCCTCACCTTGACCTCTATGCAAAGATTCAAAGAAATCATGTCGGGTGAAATGCGCTTCCTCCTGACTACTGGCACTGGCAGACCCAGACAGAGGGCAAGACGCCCGGCTTACATCAGACCCAGGACCCTCTCTGCCTGCCAGCTGGGTGCAATTCAAAGAATATAATTTAATGTCTTTGATTTCCACCTGCAGACGGTCACTTCTGGATTGATCGTCTCCTGCCACAAAATTCTGGATGAATATCTGTCCCAAGTGTCCAACCAACAACTCAGGACTCCCAGGCTTCCGAGGGATGGACACAACCGGCGATTCAATGTTTATGTTCAAGATCAGCTTTACAGTGTCGGAATGAGGAGCAGCTAGGCCGAGCCCATAGATGTCATTTTCTTCCAAGGTAAAGGATTCCCGGGTCTTCCATGGAGTTTCAAAGAGTGATACCATCTCACTGTACTCAGCTGTCTTGGTAGCTAGGACTGTGGTGACTTTGGTGGCTGCGCTTTTCAGCATGCCTCGAAAATTTTCTTCCAGTTCATCCATGGACATTGTCAACTCCTTCAAAAATTTAGCAGAGTGGTTATAATGCAAGGAAGCCATCTTGAGGTTTAGAAAACATTCCTGTTTAGATTTCTCAACAAACGTGAAACTCAAAGCTTCGTTGAGGGCTGCATCTTCCATTCTGACAAATACAGATTCAAAGTAGCCAATATCACTGACAATGTTTTCATAGCCTATGGAATTCCCAATGCTGACAACATACTGGTTTTTAACATTATCTTGTGTCAAATCCATAAGCTGCAAACAGCCGAGAGAACCATTCATGTCAAATGTGCTACCCATTGAGACGTTAACTTTGGTGCCACCTATACTCGCAGTTGCAATTTTCCTGCCATATTTCTCTCCGTTTGCCATTCCCACTGTCCGAAGGAGCAATAAGTTAAGCCTGTGGATTTCTACTGCAACCTCAGTGTTTTGTTCATATGTAGATTGGTAAGTTCCTTCTTCCCTAAAGCTTCTTTCAAAATCAGTCATTAAAGGCTGAGGACTCACATCATCTTTTTCCTTGGGAAAGGACTTCTGAAGAAAACCAATCAGCTCCACAATTGTCTCTGGATTTAGGATAATATCCAAATTATTCACCTGCAATGAAATCACCTGGAGAGTGCTATCTAAGTTCATCGACGGGCACTCTGAACTCACAAACTGATATTCCAATTTAATGAGGGATTCTTGTTCTTTGGTGAGAACTCTGTCCAGTGAAACGCTAGTAGCTGATCGGTCGTTCGGCATGGCAGCATGAGTGAAGGGGACCGCATTAGACCCAGACGCAGGAGACTGGGCCCTGCTATCCCGGAGGCTTCCTGTGGGGACATCAAAGCTCAAGTTCTTATGTGAAGCCATCAAAAGGTCAAAATCAGCACCATAAGTCTGCATGGTGTCCACCAGGAGTAAACCATGGACAGTGAGGGAGACTTCAGCATCGTAAGGCCTCTTCACAAAGTGAGCGTTGGTACCAAATACTTTGAGCACAGAAATGTACCGGCCATTGCTCTCCACACCAAGCTGCATACAGTTCACTTTAAACTCAGCCAGGAGGAGCTGTGACTCCACCAGAACCTCCCGGGTATGCTGCTCCAACATCACGATGCTCTGGGTCAAGTTCATGACTGAATCTTGCAAAGTTCCACGCTGATCATCTTGGGGGAAGATCTTCTCTTTAATCTGAGTCTCGGAAGGCTTCATTTCTGGGGTGGTGAGGAGGGCAAAGCAATTCTTGAGAGCACATATTTTATCCTCATTGATGTGGATTTTTAAATCTGGCAGGTTGCCTGAGAGCACGGCTCCAGGGTACTTGGGGTCTGAAGTATAAATCAGTCGACGTTCTAACTGCAGGTGAACGTTGAATTTCTCGACCACATGGGTTGGCCCCACATCGATATCCTGGACATGCTTCCAGTTGTCCTTCACTCGTCCAACCATGATCTGGAGGTCCAGAAAGGACAGGGAGTACCTCTCATACATCTTCGTGCTCAACAAGTGTGCTTGAAGCCGCTCTTCACTGAATTCAACTCCAGAAAATGGGGGCGTTTTCTCCCCGTTGCTGCTGCTTGTCTCAGGAGGTGGGGTGTTGGGTGGTGTGGCAAGAGGGGTCTTATACTCATCATCACTAAACTGATTGTCCTCAGATGCTGACCCTTCCCCACTTTTCCTCTTGGAGTCATCTGCAGGTGAGAAAGAGAAGATTCAAAATCTATGTCCGCTCTTGCCTGCTGCTTTCCTTTAATGCAATAATTAAGAAAAGTAGAGAATCAACCAACTCCAATTTGAGGAAATAAATGGATGAAAACTCTCAGCATAATATTCTGTATTTACCATGTATTCAGTGTGAACTTAACTATTAATTTTGAAATCAAAACACAAAGAGACAAAGCATATGAACAGGAGAAAAGATGAAGACCAGCTGACATAAGAACACACGTCAGGGTGCAAAAACCAACCACCTGCTGCCCAAAACTGCTTCCCCACAATCTGAGCCGCACTGCCATGAGCAGCTTTCATCAACCCTTCTCACATCACTCTCCATAATTATGTTACTTTTGCCAGTATTTGTCTATGTGTTCATTTTGTTCCGCCCACTAGCATGTTCCAAAAGAACAGAGGTCTCATCTGTCTTACTCAACATGATACCCCAAGTGCTAGATCAGTGCTGGNAAAAAAAAAAGGAGGTGTGCTACCCTGTTGCTTCTGTAAAACAAATTTTATTGTCATAATTAGCATTATGAAACGACAACTAAGGGGTTTATACTGAGCATGCTAGTTCAGCTCCCAACAAATCAAAGACACATACTCATTTTTTATTCTTAATGTCCTCTGGCAAAAATATGCAAGATTCTCCAATGTGAAAGACCTATCTCTTCTAGGAAGCATTTATAAATTAATTTATACCAGGCATAAAAACCTGAATTTCAGTTCATTCCTTCCCCAAAAGCCATTCTTGATTTTAACTACAGAGCCAACATTTGAGCTTTGTAATCATCCATATTTCATTACTTGTTCCTTCAGGAAGGAACGGCATCTTATTCACTTTATAAAATCCTGACTGTTTAGAACTTGATATAGTGGATCACTTGTGTCCTACTAAGAATTTCAACCTACACAGTCCCATTAGAAAGAATGCCAGGTGTGCTACCATACCCTCCTGCTTAAAACCATGGGTCCTCCTGGTGGCTCCCCCTCTTTATGTCAACAGAGTGAACATAAGCCCTGGTTTCCCAGAGACAGCCTTGTTACATGGCAGGTATAATTAGCATATGATCATTTCCCAGGTGCCCCCTTCCACTCTCCAAAAATGTCCCAATTCGGGAAAAAAAAAATCAGGTAAGTCACCCACATAAAAACACAGGTGCCAGGGCCCCATGCCAACCTACTGAATCAAGATTCCTGGGGTAGGGATGGGGTGCACCAGACACCCGCGTTTTTAACAAGCTGTCCACATGATTCTGATCCATTGGCCAGTGTGTGGGAAACGCCACCATAAATCACGGCCGGACCAATAACCACAATCAAGACCCGGCCTCCACACCGTAGCATGCGAGGACAATTAGATTTGTGAGCAAGATATTCAAATTCTTACCAGATTTTGCAAGTTTGATTTTTCCCCACTTACCAATCATTTCCAGGTGTGCCACTAATTTGGACACACTCGCTTTCGCAAGCTCACTGGTGGTCTTATTCAGCACGAGAGAGAGCGAGTGAACCTAAGAACACAGAAGATAGAGCAAGGCAAATATTACCAGGGGAAAAAGGGCATCTTTCAGGCAAATAGCAGAACAAAAATCAAGGAAGAAACAGAGTGGCTCGGGCTATCTGAAGGTAAAGCTTTTGTTGATGCTAATTTCATTTCAGCTTTCATTTGCCAGTCAAACCATATAATCTAAGGAAAGAACTGATGAAAAAGGAACTCAGCTGCACAATCTACAATAAAACCCAGGTCCTGTGGAGTCTTTGTCTATGATTGCCTTGTCTAGGCTCTGTTAGTGAAATGTTTTACGTTATGAAACAATTTTTCTCATTTTTGCATTTGTCTTTAATATTGCACTTTTCCTTCATCACTCATAGAGGTTCATTAAGTCAAGTCACACTAAGAAATCTGTCAAAACCAAATGATAAATGTAATTTAGAATCCTGCTGAATGTCTTTGGACAAATACTTAATTGAAGCCCCGCTGACTATTGGGACTTCACCTAGGAACCACAATCAAAGATTTTCTTTCTTTCAGTAACAACTGAAAATAGAAGAAAGTCAAAACCCTCTGTCTTGGGAATAGCATTCTTTGTAATAAATAAATTCTGTATTGTAACACTGTCATTTTAAATACTCAAAGGACGTATATATCTAGGATATGCTGAGGCAGACACTTCTGAAGGCCATCACCGGGGACAATGAAGGAGCAAAGAGACATTCAAACCTCAATTCACACTCACTGCTTCCAAATGGCAGAAACCATGCCACATAACCCCTTAATCTTCAGTGCCGACCACAAGGTAGGTGCTCAGGAAATGTTTGATGAATAAATGATTGGGAGAAAAAAGATAGGGAAAGAAAATCAGGTAAGGAACAAAAGAAGGAAAAACACTTGTAGAAGAAGGCAGGGGAAAAAAGAGTGGTAACTGCAGATGGAGCAACGAACTCTGGGGCCACTCCAGGGCCATTCAGGTTCCCTGCAGTAAGCTTTTTGACACAGACTACAGAAGGATCTCAAGGGAATGAGATTATCGTGAAGGGGGAAATGTAAAACCTCTGGTCACTTAATCACCAAAATAAAATACACTGAGTCTAAAACTGTCACCACCTGAACCACTATCTTAGCATGAATCTTGGTGTAAAAGTAGGACAACCAGACGTTGTATACTGCTGACATAATGCAATAGGATGCACTCAGCACCATATAAGAAATGTTTTGGGGCCGGCCAGGTGGCTCAGTTGGTTAAGAGCATGAGCTCTGAGCAACAGAGTTGCCGGTTCGATTCCCACATGGGCCAGTGAGCTGCATCCGAGCTGAGCTGCCACTGAGCTGCCAACGGGTGGCCGGATGGCTCAGTTAGTTAGAGCACATGCTCTTAACAACAAGGTTGCCAGTTTGACTCCCCCATGGGATGGTGGACTATGCCCCCCCGCAACTAGATTGAAAGTAGCGACTAGATTTTGAGCTGAGCTTGCACTCTCCACAACTAAGATTGAAGGACAACAACTTGACTTGGAGCTGATGGGTCCTGGAAAAACACAGTGTTCCCCTTCCCCAATTCCCCAATAAAAATCTTAAAAAACAAAAAAATGTTTTTACCCAAGAATTGAACCTGAATCTGATCAAGTCTCAGGAACTAACTTCCATTTCTAGAACTAGAAGCTAAAAGAAGTCAAATGGAACCCCAAGGAAACAGACAAATCTGGACTATGGACACTACAGCATACTAACCCTGTTTCTACAAGTCAACTGCATGGGAGGAACAAAGAGGAGAAAGGCTGGTTTGCTTTAATTAGCAGAGATTTAAGAGACAAGACAGCAGATGTAACGTGTGAACCTTATTCGGATCTCCATTCCAAAGATTCATGTCATTTTACTTAATTCTCCTCATTTTGTAGAGGAAACTACAGTTCAGAAAAGCAAAGTATTCCACTGAATGGCAGAGATCAAAGGAAAGATTGAGAAGTTTCTTAAACCATTCATTCCTCTACAATGCACCAGGAAATGGGCATTTTTGAGACGATCAGGGAAATCTAAGTATTGACTGGTGATTGTTACGTAATACCAAGAAACTCTTGTTAAATTTAGATGTGAAAATGCATTGTGGTTATAAAAAAAGTCTAGGGCCGGCCGAGTGTCTCATTGGTTAAGAGCTGGCTTGGGACACCAGCTCTGAGCAGCAGGGCCCCGGTTCAGATCCTACATGAGGGCCAGCAACGCTGCGCCCTCTACAGCTAAGATGGTGAACAACAGCTCAACCTGGAACTGGGCTGCCATGAGTCACTGGCGACGGCGTAGGCTGCAGTGAAGCTGCAGTGGGCTGCTGTGAGTTACCGTGAGTGGCCGGCAGCCAGCGTGAGATGCTGTGAGCCGCCATGAGCTGCCGGCCAGTGACCGGCGACTGATCTGCCTCGCCCGGGAAGAGCGCAATGATAATACCAACATGGGCCAGTGAAGCNTGTTGAAATTCACATACAAAAACAGAAACCAGGAGTAATGCTCCATCCCATACTACACATGCCTAAACATGTTACTTAGAACATGCCTGCCCTCCCTACACTCCCGAATGGCCTGCGCTGCCCAAAGGAAGCCACACTCTAACTGCTCCATCTGTGGCACCTCAGCAGGGCGCCTCCATGTCACTGCGGAAACCAAGTTTTGCTGGACTGTGAAGATGTCTCTTGGCTCTCCCTGTCTACAGCATCCTTGCATCAGCTGGTCACTTAGCATCACAAAGGGACCATCACACCCTGGAATGAAAACTGGGGTGTCAATCCAGTTGTTTTTCCTCTGATAACAGTAAATAAAAAAGGGGTGCTCTTAAGTGAGACATTTACAAAATATCAGATCCAGAACATGGAACAAAGACGAGCAGCTATAAAAGATCACATTTGTATCAAATGTGGTACAAGGGAGAAACATGATCTAATCACAGTCCCTCGGTTTTTGGTCCTTTATTCATTAAACCCTGACTGTAAAGAACATGATATTTTTTTGCTAGCTATAAAAACTTCACATTTTCAATTTAATCAGTATAACAGATACAAGCATACCTCCAGCAGGTAAAGAACTTGACAGAAAGAATGCCTGCCCTTCCCCGGCCCCCCCCCCCACGAGTTTACATATGCCCACTCACAATGAAGTCGCCCACTAGCAAACGATCGAGAGTTTGCCGGATTTCTGCCTTGGTCTGCATCTTCAGCTTGTTATACTGTCTTCGGGCAGCTTCAGCCACTCTCAGCTCAAGTTCAGACTGATAACCAAAACCTGCCAAGATTGGAAAGAGTAGAGTCAAAACTTTCACATGGCTGGGTGGAGGGAAACACTGCAACATCTGTTCTCAGCAAGAATTTCCACCAAAGCTAAACAACAGTCTGTACAACAACAGTTCCTTACTCCAGCCTGACCTGGCACTACAAGGGTAACAGGAAAGAAGCAAAACTGGGTGAGGGGCAGCCGTGGGGAGAAAGGCAGTGCATGAGGGAAGGGTACCAATGTTACTAGAATTTTTCAAACCACTGTCTGAAAGATTCCAAGCGACTATATCAAAATCCTTAAAAACATGATATTACATTGAAAGAGAAAATGNGCCAATTTCAGTCCAAAGAAGACTAATTCTCCCTTGAAAGGATCTGTCAACAGCTCAGATAATCAATTTGTTTCTAGGATGGGCCAAGTTTGTCAAAGCATGACAAGAATTATATCCTCCTGGGAAAGAGACGCTGACTTTTTAAGCAGTAATTTTCCCCATTTCTGAATGGCAATGGAATTAAGGGTCTGCCCTCTTCCTCTGTATAACTCACCCCTCCTCCACTGAAGAAGGCTAACAAGACCGATTCCCCAGGGACAAAAGGACACGATGAAAGGACTCCACGTTTACCGGAACAAGTTATCATTAGTTACATGCATTAATGATATCTCTTTGAATATATGTATTTTCCTTCCAACAGTTTATATACATAATAAAATATAAATACATATAACATAAATATAAAATAAATATGTGGCTCCAACTGTCCTGACATGAAAATCAGTTTAAAGTGTTTACCTGAACTGGATTGACAAATTTCCCTTCGATCTTCATGATGCTAGAAGTTCCCAGATCATCTGGACTAAGGGAGAAAGTCAATTCAGATTCTCTCTCTACAGGGATCTTCTCCAGTTTGAACTGAATGGTGGTGTTGTTCAGGATGTGGAAGGCTGGCATGAGAGAAGGGAAGGACAGCTGAAAACACTAACATTTACTGAACTATTGCTGATTACGTGTAGGATATATAACACAGAGCCCATGAGTTACCCTTAGACCATGAGGTCCATGACTGAGTATAAACTTTGATGACTATCCCAAGACCAAAACTCATAGTGAGCAGAGGCACAAGATAAATATGCACACAAAAAGAAATGATATTTTCATGACATGCTCCATTTGGTGGCTTCAAAATATGATGTGGANACCAAAGGGTCCCTAAGGCAGTTATTATGGGCACCAGAGAACAAAGTTACAGTCACGAATACGTTAAGTCCAAAAGAATGAGTGAAGCCTCTCCAGGTGCCATTCACCTTGCTAAACAAGGTACCAGAGGCCTCAGGGTTCTGCAAAGGCACTCGTTCACACCGAGGGGTAAAACTGGTTCATGCCCAGCTCTCCAGAGATCTCTCCCGTCTCTCGAGGAATGAAGCCTACTGCTAGCTAAGAAAATCAGAAAAGAGCAACTGAATAAAACATGATTCTCCTCCCTGACTTTTCCCATCAGCAAGCGCAAGTCCACACAGGCTAAGACATGTCCAGGAAGAACTTCATCCTCGAGGCACATGAATGTAACCGGCCGCTGGCAGGGGCCCGGGGCCCTGGGCTGGTGCTAGTCACAATGATGTACCACCAACAGGTCATTAAATTTAATACTTACACATCTCACTGCTTGATGACACAGAGCACAGCAGCCCGAAATTCAAATGCTGTCTTCATGTGTTTTGAAACATTTGCAATGAGTACCAAGGACGAGTTATAAGTGTGGCAATCCACATAATAGTAAAACTAATAATATCTGTCATTCACTGAATGCTTATTTCAAGCCATGCACACTGCACAAAGGGCCTTACCTATATTATCTCATTGAATCCTTGCAACAACCCAATGGGGTAGGCACAATTTAACACCCTCAGTTTATTGATGAGCAAATGGAGGTAAAAAGAGGTGAAAAATTTTGACCAGGGCCAAATAACTGTAGTTTGTAAACAACAAAAGTGCCAGGATCTCAACCCAGGCAGTCTGACTTCTGAGACCTCATTCTTCACAGCTGTACTGTTGCCCTCAATGAAAGCCAGTAATGTTCTGAGCAACGTGGGGAGATGATGCAAAAAGCCACATTTTAAAAGAGGCACTATGTACTAGACACTTTGCTGGGTGCCTCACACACATGACCTCATTTACTTATCTTTATTAGATGATGGAAGATGAGGAAACGGAGGCTCAGAGAAGTAAGTAATTCCACTGAATTATACAGTACAACCCAGAGGAAAGACAAAAAGTTCCTTAAGCCATTAATTTTCCCTGCCTCCAGATGGAATTTACACGAAAACCTTTTCTCAGATAGTAATGTCTACCCTTTTGTAACACACATCCAGAAGACTACATAGCGCTGCTGCCAGTAAGACCTGTTTTCTAGAGTAAATGTACAAAGACAGCATTTAAATTAACAAACCAAAATGCATTCTGAGAACGTCAAGGAGTGAAAGGGAACTGGTACCTTGAGATCCAGCTTGGTGTTAACTGGGTCCTGAAGTTCAGACTCCGGTGCGGTGTTTGCTTCTGACCTCACGTTTTGCAGAATGTCCTCAGGCGGCACCTTCATTGCATGGTTGTCCGCGGTGGAGCCAATGCCAAAGAAATCTAGTATCACGACCCAGGTCTGCAGAGTGATGAGCACGTCCAGGCAGTTAAAATCCACATCAATGCTCCGGTTCACTCGGTTATAAATGGAAGAGAATTCTGGATGCTTCTTATCCACCAGGAATATATTGATGTGGACCAAGGAATCGTCAAATTTACTCTTTCCAGCAAGTATCCTGGGCTCATCTACTGTTGGAGACGGTGGCGGGGTCAAGGGGTAGTCCTGGTCTTGGACTTCCTTTTGCTTCTTCCGGGATGCCGAGGTGGGTCTTTGGTACAGCTGAAAGACATTGGGAGCTTCTTCCATGTGAGAGGGGAGAGACCGAGGCATATCCGGATACTCCACATTGGACACTGAAGGGCAAGACTGAGAGAGATATTCTTTCTGTGCTAAACTGGAAGGCTTAGGGGCGCCCCGAGACACCATCAGGTTCTTATATTTGGAATCTGGATTTTTCTCCAGTAAGTCTTCCATCAGCAGAGAGCGCAGGGCGATCTGAATAGATAGAGTCTGAGGATGGTCTTTACTGAACTCCACCTCAAAATCCTGAAACTTTAAGCTCACAAGCCCCTGGGCCCCCAAAGTCAGATCTCCACTTAGCTGAACTTGAAGCTCCGGTATACAAAAGTTGGCTTGAATCTGGGTAAAGGATTTGACATCCTTCACAGACAAGGACTTTTGAGAAGAGTTAGAAAGACTGGAGTGGCTGAACAATCCATTCTCCTTCCTTTCAATGGAAGGTTCTCCACAGGTACTGAGGGAAGGCAGAGGAGAATTAGGGCAAGGTGAGGAGGGAGCACTGCCTGGAAACTGATTCAGATCTTCACTATACACGAGATTATCCAGCGTTTGTAAAACCTGCTCATACACATGCTTTGCTAACACCACCTGTATGCAAAGAGAAAAACTCAGTTATTCCGCTACTGTCATTAATTGCACTCGGCTACACTGCCCACAGATTTCCAAAGCTGATTAGTATGGGTTTCCCCCAAGGGATTATAAATTACTTGATAACAAGGACTGTCTCCTTTCTTTTCTGTCCTTACCTCTCTCTGACCCATGTCTATTCACAAGGCCCTCCCCCAGTACCTCACAGAATAATCTATACACAATAAATGTTCAATAAGTACTACTGATCGTAGGCCTCAGTCAGCAAAGTCACTCTAACCCCACAAAACCAACTGCAGAAATTCAAGGGAACACGGCCAAAAGCCTAACGTGGTTACACCACAGGGCTGAGAAACAGGACCCACGGCTCTAAAACCC